TATATTAATCACCAAAAATAGTAAAGATCCAAATAACATTACAACCTTCACAGCATAGCATATAATATAAGACGCAAAATAAAAATCTCTAAAAATAAATAGATATTTTGCCTAGTGCTCATAGCAAATTTTCACATTTATATTTTTTTCCTATCAATAAAGTTTCATCTAATTGTTTTTGTTTATAATTTTGAAATTGTTTGGTATTTTATAAGTTGCAATTTTGGTACCTTATTATATTTTAAAGTTGTGTTTTTTGTCCCTTATATAATTTGTCACTATAGTTTTCGTTTATATTTATATTTGTATTTATATTTATATTTATATTTATATTTATATTTATATTTTATTTTTGATTAGTTATTGTTTTATTTTTTATTAGAGGGCTTTTTTGAAATAGCTAAGGCTGTCAACCCTCATAACTCCTTTTACCCCATTTGTATGGGACTTAGGATTTTGGTATTGTTGTTGTTATAGTTCATAAGTTGACAATGAATATAAGTATGTATGTTGTACACAAGTCCATGATTGGGATGGGACTAAAGTACACTAAAAATTTTATAGCAATGAGGCACTAGATTCACTTATAATTTCAAACAGGTTGGCCAGGGACTTGATATACAAGTGTATATTCGATCAAGTGTTGTACATCATCCGAAGCTAGCTATGTGCTTTGGACCTCCAAGCAATGTTAGTTTGAAGTTACCTTCTTGGGAGTTACATTTTAAAAAAATGAAAATGAAGGTGTGATGGAAACAAATTACTTATGTAGTGTGAAGTATATAAGTTTCAAGAATCATGGTCTTGGCCTTGTATGTGCTTGTAAATAGATATGGACACATCATTTGAAGTAGTTTCAAGTGTAACATCCGCAATTTTTAAAATCGAATTATATCGGGCAATGGCTTGAATAAGTACCTAGAAAGCTTTAAGGTATGTATTTAAGCCTTTAGTGGTTGTGTTATTAAGTAAGAATTATGGAATCCAACAAAAAGAAACATCTAATCCATATTGGTTGTTGGGTCGAAGTAGAATAGAAACCCAAAATAAATTATTGCGTCAGAATTTGAATAAATAAAGATTGATAGTTGATTATTAAAAGATATAAGATGTCTATTTAAGATTCATATACTATTTAGCAAGAAGATGGAATATTTTGGTATTTCTATATAATTTTGGAAATTGAATGGAAAATAAAAAGGATAGAGGAGACGAATTTTATCTATCTATTTATTAAAAGATTAATTGTTAGAGAAAAAATTATAAATATGACTTATGTGGGTTCGTTGGAAGAAAACAGTGCCATCGGCACTATTCAACTGTTCACGACAATATTGGTGGCGGGCGGCAACGTCATACGGTCGACAATGGTGGTTGGAGATGCTATAATAACTGATTTTGCAATTGACAACCCTAATCACTCCTTATTTCATTCGATTGCACAACTTAAGGTAATTTATTGAAAACCTTATATAATCTAATGAATGGCTTGGAAATAATGGGACATTGTTGAATGTATAAGATTCATGATAGATTGTAATCGTGAGCATGGATAGAAGCTTAAATTCCGAAATGGGCATATAGACATACACTTAGATGGTGTTTGTTTTTGAAGAAGTAAAATGTATTTGGTCATTTTCCATGCATGTCGAATAAAATATGAACAAAAAACCTTTTTTCATGTATTTAGTCATCATAAAAAATTGTTTGTTTTTTAGAGTTTTCATAAAAAAACGAACGATGTTGTTGGTGTTAGTGGTGGTGTTGGAGGTACGGGAGTCATGGTGGTGGTGACGGAGGTGGGGGTGTTGGGGTGGAGGTGGTCACAGAGGTAGAGGTGGTATGCGTGGTAGTGGCTACGGTGGTGCTGGCGGCGTTTGGTGGTGATGGCGATGACAATAGAGGTGGCGGCAGTGATGACGACATTGGTGGTAGAAAAAGAAATATCACATAGGGTTAGAACTTATAAAATGTCTTCCAGAATCAAACGTATTTTTTTGTCTCATGGTAAAAGAGGTAAAAAAAAAAAACTTTTTTATAGTTTCTGTCTTTTGAAAAGAAAATACTTTTTTCCTCAAATATATTTTCAGACATAAGAGGTCAAAAAGACTTCTTGCCAAAAAAAAAAAACAAAAACACCTTAAACATCTTTAATAGGACAATTGTGACTTTTTATTGGAGTCATACAATAAGTATAAATATAATTACTTGGAATATCTTTGTTGTGTATTGAAATTTTATGTTACCATTGTGAATTTGGCTTTTGAAAGTGTTACATGTAGAAATTGGAAGTACATTCCTCAATTAAATCATGCCATGACTTCAAATTATCAAGTAATCAAGCAATAGGTAGTGTTTGAGTTAAGTAAATCTAGTTGCTTGATTTTATGTTTGGAATAAAGATGAAAAAATAATAGAATTATCATGTTCTTTCTAAAAAGAATAGTATCAGATGGTTATTAAGAATAGATGGTTATTAAGAATATGTGGATGAAAATAAGAAATCATAAATCTACTTTTGGAGTTTCTTAATGCTCGTAGAAGAATTGAATGAAATAATGAATTTCATCCAGAAAAAAAAAAAGCAAAATTTTAGTAACTGTATGTCCAACATCCATCTTTAAGGCTATAACACAATGCAGTAAAACGGTAGCTTCTCGGCCTTAAGATGTAGCCAAGACAACAAAGAACACATATCGAAAAGAATTAGCCTAATCAAAGTTTAAGTGAGAGAGTATGAATGCTTAAAGTTGTGGAAAATTTTATACAAACTTAGAATGTAGAGTTTTTCCAAGAATTAACCTAGTTATGTTTATCCAAATAATTCTCGAGCCTAACATATAGCCGGTTCAGAAAGGAAGATGTACGGAAAATAATAAACTAATTTTGAGGTCATACGCAAGAGTTATAAGGGTTTAAAGTAAGCTTAAGACCAACTTGTGATGCTGTCAAAAGTTGACTTTATTATTAACTTTGTTTAAAATTTGTGATTTTTAGTTAAACCGAATAAATTAACTTAGAATTTGTCAATAAATCATGCATAATGGGTTATACACAACAAAGATGTTTAAAATTTTGTAAAACGGCTATTAAGCAGTCGTTTTAAAAGTAAAAAATATATTTTTTAAATGATGCGAAACTTAACTATTATGATTTATCATCATAAAAAGTTCAAGAAAAAAATAAATACCAAGTTTGGGTCAAGAAAAGATGTATTTTTGTTACCACTACAAATGAAAAAATATGATAAAACTAAAAAGTTATCGTTTTAGCACATACGAGGGCTCATGAGTGCATAATGAAACTGTAATGACATTTATCTAATGTTGGATGTATCTGGCAATAAAAGATATTGAAAATATAGGATGTAAAATACTTTCTATTTTTAGAAACTTCTACGGTTAATATTTGCCAAAATTGTTAAAATGAATAGGGATAATGACTTAAAAATGTAATGTATTTTTTGATTTGTACACATTTAGTCACTAACTTTTTTTTTTTCGTTCACATTTACCCCTTCAACTTGTTAAACTGTACACATTTAGTCATTATGACCGCCTATTCCAGGTTAGCCGGTAAAAATGACTTAATAGGGTAATATATTTCTCACTTTGTACATATTTAGTCCTTAATATTTTTGTATACATTTAGTCCTTAATAATTTTTTTTGTTGCAAAATAAGTCATTTTTGTTTTTGTACTCATTTAGTATTTATGAATGATTTCTTTAGGTTTTTTCTCACGATATCTTACGTAGGATAGCCATATCATGGTGGGATAAGTTGAGGTGGTCCTGCTATATGTTGTAGGCCAAGATACCTGGTGCGGACCGCTTGTAAGCCGTAAGCACGGAAGCTCGAGAAGAGCGGTTGGATTAAGGCGGAATGCCAACAAACCCTAGGTATTTCAGTCCGATGACTACTTGGACCTGTTGAATGTTGGCATTCCAGTCCGATGACTGATTGGGCCAATGTATTCAAATCTGATGAGTGTGGGCTCGTTATGCATGATAATATGTTTGTTGTATCAAGTATTTTGGGGGAAACTCACTAAATTTTGTGCTTATCCAGTTGTTTATGTTTTGAAGTTATATCGTTGATCGTGGGAAGGCGAATGCATGATTGTACACACTCATCAACGATATTGAGGATTCTGCGTTTCTTATATTACTTTGATTTTCGATAAATGTATTTTGGAATAAACGTTTTTTTCTTAATAATTGATTTATAATTAGAGACTTTTGCCTTATTTACAAATGAAAATTTTTAGTTGTGAAAATGAGACGTTACACATAAAAATCAACAGCCCCACACACTTCATCAATGATTGTCTTACGTAAGACGTCGTGAGAAAATCTAAAGAAATCATTCAGAATGAGTACAAAAACAAAAATGACTTATTTTGAAACAAAAAAATATTAATGACTAAATGTGTACAAAAATATTAAGGACTAATTGTGTACAAAATGATAAATATATTACCCTATTAAGTCATTTTCCCAGCTAACCTGGAGTAACCGGTCATAAGGATTGAATGTGTACGGTTTAACAAGTTGAAGGGGTAAATGTGGACGAAAAAAAAACTCAGTGACCAAATGTGTACAAATCGAAAAATATATTACCCTTTTAAGTCATTATCCCAAATGAATAAGATAAATGTTGTTTTGGCATCTAACATTGGAACAAACCTTTAAATAATTCCATACCATAAAGTTGCTAAAATAACACCCTAAAACACGAGAACATCACATTTAGGCAAAATAAGATGTCTAAATGAGAAAATAGTCAAAAAAAAATGTCAAAACGAAAAGTGATTTAAAAAGTCCCATGAAGTTTTATACATGTTTTAA